TGTAAGAACCAAAGCTGAGTTCATAAATGCAATATAAAATAATAGGGCATTTATATTAATATTCATGTATTGAACTCAGAGAATGGGTAACTTGCTATTCATCATTTTAAAACATGTTTATAGAATACAAATACATTGGTGTTTGTTTTTTTTTAGTGCTGATGAAAATGAATGGTACTTGGGGACCAAGTCTGCAGATTAAAGTGTTATGATACATTACCATGCTTGCACAGAAATGAGCACAGATGGTGGATCTATTACTTCTCTAGCAATAATTTTTTTTTTTATTTATTATATTTTTTTCCCCAGAATTCATATTTGAGCAACACTTGCCCAAGTTGGTCTACCTCTGCGGGTATCCTTAAAACCTTTTTTTTCATTACTTGCACATTAGAAGTAAAAAAAACAAAAAGTGATTAATGTTGTATTAAAACTTTATAATGAATGAAGTCTCTCAAACCAAGAGTCTGAGATTTTTATATTTTTCCTTTCACTAAACAGAAACATATTTTGCATGTAAATGAAAGTCTACAGGGATGAAGTTTTGTGTATCATGCTCAAATTCCCAACAGAATATTTTGTTCTGACAGATCGTTCAGTCCACATTAGAATGTGTGAAGATGTTTTATTTATAATATTTGTCAATTAAACACAATTATAAACGTGGAAAATTAAACAGCAGTATATAAGTAAAGTGTTTTGTTTTTTTTTTCCTGCAAAGAACATGCTGACTTCAATAAATTTTATTTTGCTGTAAGAATTAATAAAACAGTACTTCATAAGGCTTTGTCAATGCCTTATTATACACTTGAAGAAAGAAAAAGGGTGTTCAACCTGATTTGTGAGCCTGTAATTACGAAAGACTCAAAGTCAAATGATGGGTTTTGAAGTCAACTGCTCAAATCTGCATCACTTTGAAAGGAGGGACAATTTAATATATGTTAGATTTTCCAATATCAGGAATAAAATATAACCAAATAGTTTCATTTACTTCAGTATGTTGAGTGTATTCCTATTTGGGTGTTTGGTACTGAGACCTCCATCCTGAAAAACACTGCTCAGCATTTATGCTGTGATCTGATAACAAAGATTTTATTGGGGAAAGACTTGCTTGCTTCCAGCTTCCAAAATAGGATTTTATACTTCTGTTCCAACCAGATAAGTTGGTGTTTTTTGTTTTTTCTTTTTTTTTTCTTTTTTTTTTTTTTTGGTAATTTTGTCTTTTTCCTTTCCATATGTGAAACTTTATTAGATGTGTTCCTGGATAAAAATTGGCATCCAGAACCTTGAAGATTAACTTTGAGATCAAATTCTCCCTGCATACAAAAATAATTAAAAAAAAGAAACAAAATCTCTTGAATGATTGCAAATATTTCAAGGTTTAAATAATCCAGCACTTCATATGAGGATTTCTGGAGATACAGAGAAGTAGTTCCTGTGAGAGTCAAGCTGGTAATAGGGTAGAACATTTAGTAGACCCTTCGAAATATGCAGAAGTTGAATCCAATGCTTTCTCTGTGATTATTGTGAATGTAATTCTATGTGTTATCTGTGGACTCCTGGGGTCTTTAACAGACAAAAATGTCAGGAGGATGGGATGGAATGTATTAGTTGGTGCAGATCAGGGTTTGTGCTGTTTTCAGAGCAACTGTTTCATTTGCAAACATTTTAGTCCAGGCAGTGCTCTGTTCTACTTAGGAACATAGTTGTGGAGGAAGAGACTGCAGGCAGTGGGAAACAGAGAAAAATTACAAATTTGCTTCTTTCAAAGATGGAATGGATTGCAACAGCCATGGGTGAGAGAAAAGCCAAGAACTAAAAAGAAAACAGAAGGGTGCTAAACAGTTTAGAGAATGTAATATCAAATAATATGGAGGCTGTTAATCTCAGTACTTAATGATCTGCCTGTATAATGCTAATACACTTAAAAATGTACTATTATCAAGCCTTAGAGTGCTGCTTGTCACTACATAATGCACTTGTTATCTTTGCTTCAACTTCTTACCCTTCCCCGTTCTCAGCTGCAAAAGCAAATCCTACCTCTGAGCAGTCAGCAAAGATATAGCTTGAACTATTAATGTGAGTAGATTCTTCGACAGGCTAGTGACTGAATGGATTCCTTCTTTACAGGAGGGAGAGGTAGCCTGGTAGTTCTTGTATAAAATCCTTTCCAAGCTCAATTTCTTTACAAAGTCATCAGTGCAGGCACAAGAATTGAGGACAGGGATATTTCCAGGCTAGAGCATGCCCACTTGTACTGCATATGAGTATGAACATCTGGACTTTTTTTTGCTGTATTAGTTTAGTAGAGGGGCCGCAGATTTTCTTTACAGCCCTATACAGATCTTTACTGTGTCACTAAATGGGTATAAAAAGCTGTCTGCTATAAACCAAAATACTTTGCTGCGAAGAATATCAGCCATTCACATAATCGTATTCAGCATTGCTATGAATGTATATTTTTTAAACTTCTTTCAATTTCCATGTTCTAATGAACTGCATTAACTTCATTATGACTTGTCCTGATTGTGCAATATTATCATCATCTATTCCAGGTAATAGAATAGCTAGAAAATCAGTGATGGGCTCAGTAAGGGTTTTAGTAACAGGCACATTTTTTTTTAATATTTACTTTTAGCTGATACAGTGTGCCCTAAATACAAATGACAATATATTTGCTCTAATGAAGAATGAATAATGCTAGAATCTTTAACTTGTGTCTAATCCTAGGTAATTGTTGCTACAGTAGCATAATACATAATAGAATTTAAATTTTGTATTATATTTACTAGCATTGTGGCTCTGGACAGCCTGGTCTGGTGGTTGGTGACCCTGCACATAGCAGGGGTGCTGAAACTCAATGATCATTGTGGTCTTTTTCAACCCAGCTCATTCTACGATTCTATGATTCTATGAAATAGAGAGAACACTGTTCCTCATTAGCATGTACAGAGCTGTATTTAGGCTTAGAATTTTGGTACTTTTTATGGGAAACCAAATGCTTTAAAGGATTTCAACAGTCAAAGACTGCTGGATATTTGTCCGTTAAAAGTCTGGAAAAAAATTGCAGTGCTTCAGAATTAGTTCATTTTCCAAGTATTTGAAGAAACCCTGCCTGAGGTACTGTGTCCAGCCTTTGGTCTCCCAACATAATAGAATGCAGAGTGTCTGGAAACCCTGATTTAGTGGTTGGCAACCCTGCCCATGGTAGGTGGTTGAAACTCAATGACTTTAAGGTCTCTTCCAACCAAACCCATTCTATGATCCTATGATTCTATGAACGTGAAGTCTAAAACATATCTTCTTGTAATATCTGTACAAAGGCAAATTGTGCTATCAGATCTATGGAAAATTTAGTCATTCTGTACAATAGAGTTATTTTATATCTAAGAATGTGGCCACTGTCATTTTAGGAACGGTACTTGTGTCCTTGTATACTTCTTTAAGAACGTGCTGAATCTCACTTACTTAAGGTGATATTTAAGCAAACATCAAAGACAAAATATTGTTGCTATGTGGCAACTTTGCTTTAATGAACAGCATTCATTATTTAACATTCTCATAAATACAGTTAAAGGAGGAAAACAAGTTCATACTTTTAAAGGGCTTTCTTTTTCTTTCTTTCTCCACACTTTCCCCCCTTTCCTCTCTTTGTAAGTTTCATTCACCTTTCATTCTCTTCCCATATTCTTTCTGTGTGCCAGTTTCCATCAACTGTTATAGTTGATGATCATAGTCCTCTTCATCCTTTTGGTAATTCCTTTTCCCAGTTCCTCCTGCAAGAGATATCCATATTAAAACCAATGATGAACATTAAATTTCTCTCCTTGAGTATTTTGCACATACAATGGCCCAAGGGTGAAAAGAGTCCTTGCCCCTCAGACTTACACTTTGACCTTTCTGCAAACTGAGGTAGCAGGTTAATTTTCCTATGATTGCTTCATATATGTAGCATTTTTTCTGTGAAGCTAAGAGGACTTGCAGCAATTTTCATAAAATTCATATTTTGCAGAATTTGAATATGCTATCTTGCCTATGCTCATCTGAAGATCTGATAGGCAAGAATTAGGCACTTCTGTTCTCTGCTCCTAATAGCGTTCCTTTCTTTCTTTTTATCAGCGTAACAGCTGGCAAAATAGTTTCAAGACAGAGATACATAAAGCTAATTTTTTGTAAAGTATGCAGACAAAACATAACATATGGAGGATATTTGCATAATGCACAGTATCTATGATAAGTTAACAATTCAGTTTTTTCTTGCATAACTTCAGTATTACATAAAAAATAGGAAGCTGAAGCATCTTCATAAGCCAAAGAATTTTGCTAAATGGTTATTTTTAGTATTGGCATTTTGAGTTTTGCTGTATTAGCCTGTTAGAACCACTGTTCTACTTACTACATTGATACATACTTAAATGAACATTTATCTGTTTTCCATGGCTTATTTTATGCATATTCATCCACTAAATAAATTTCTGCCTTCTGTGTACTTACACCAGTTATGTAATGCCAAATAATTTGCGCATAATTTGGCTATTGTCCTGCAATATGTATTCAAGCTGCTTGTGCATTCACAGAAACACTATGAAACTTCAGATATAGTTTCAAACATACAGTGTATATAGAATATGGAGTGTTGATTTTCTTTTTTTTTCCAAAACCTGAAATGTTATGCATTTAGGCAATCACTGTGCAGTTTGTATTTAACAAAAATAAAACGGAGATAAAAAGTATGCAAAGAGAAATGTTTCTTCCTACAAAATGCAGATAACACTTTTCTCGTTAAAGTTTGCAGCAACATTAAAACAATAACAAATAACACAACTTTGTGGGATAAAATGATTATGTTATATTTCTTTTCTATTAGAAATATACGCACAAAATTAATGCATCTCATTAAAGTGTAATGTTGGTGCCATGAGAATTGAGTTAATATGAACTAGAAAATGAGTGAGAGCAGAATAAGTTACATCTTTGTGTGTGTTTCCATATTCAAATAGCTATACTCATCATGTGGTTGGCAGTGGAATCAAAGCTCAGTCTGGGAATCCAGAAGTAAGAGTGAAAGGAACAGATCCTGTAATAAATCAAATTATTGACAAGCTGAAACATGTTATTCAGGTAAGTTACTTCTATCTTTATACATAGTATAGAACTAAAAACAATCTAGTGGTGAACATATGAATTTACTATATTTTATAGGGTAATTGTTAATTCAAGTCATTGCTCCATGTACAGCAACACAAAACAAAACAAAACAAAACAAAACAAAACAAAACAAAACAAAACAAAACCCCACAATACCCTATCCTGTTTAATCTTTCTTACTTAATTTATTAAAAGTGATGTAGTGAAAAAGTTTGCTTATGGTAGACGAGTGTAGGGTGTAAGAGTGGCAGCTGGGCCATATGCAGCTGTGAGTACCAGTTCAGCACTGTATTAAGGCTGCAAAAGAATAAAAGTATAATTTAGAGATAATTAACTGAGTGCGTATATTTAAAAAAAATTACAAGGTAATTTCCATCGTCTCTCTTTTCTAAATCAAAATCTTGACCATTGTTGCTGCGAAGTTTATTGTTTAAGAATCAGATAGAAATGCTAGAAATTTTAAATAATAACTTGCCTACTAAAGAAGTTGGTGTTCACTACCTGATGCACATATAAGTGAGTTACTAAATTTAAGGCTTATAAAGCACTGAATTCCAACATGGTCCTGTAGTATTGTAATACATTAAAAACACTGCATGTGTGGTTTGTTGTACTCATTAATATCTATATACCTGGAGAGACGTAACTATAAGACAAAGTATCTGACTGTTAAAAGCAAATTTTGCTGGCAACTCTGCTCTTCAGTTAGAAAATATTTTTTTCTACTATGATCTGAGAACTCATTGATACAAAGTGCTCTACTGGCATCTTTTGTCATTGCCCTGTCTAGCACAACAACCTCTCTGCATTGAGGAAAAAGAGGGGTTAAGTAGGGGGGGCATGCAAACTTGGCAGACTTCCTTCTCCATTCTCCTTCTCTACCTCATTTCCTAAGAATGAAAATTTTCTATTTCTAAAAAATAAAAATAAAAGTAAACACTGTTTAATAATACCAAAGGAGTAAAATAGGAAATGAAAAAAAAAAAAAACCAACAAAAAATATTTTCCATCAGTAGTTATATTCTGGGAGAAGTGGCATTCAAATTCCTTTTCTTATGTTAGGAATATAATCATTTATTTATTTATATTAGAACTCTAACCACTATTCCTTCCTCCTAGAAAGAAATACCCCTTCTAGTCCTCCAGCTTTAGCATGCATGTCTCTACTTCTTTATTAAAATAGTGACAAAATGGTGAGATAATTTTGCCTTGAAATACATGCTGTGGCTTAATTAAGATCAGAAAGTTATTCAGAAAGAATAACATTGTAAATCTTACTGGGTAAATCTCAAGGTCTTTCATCTGTCAGGTATGCCCACTCTTTCTTCTTTGATATTAAATCTGCACAGTATAGTTTATTGTGTTGTTTTCCTCTAGAGACCAGGAGCTGTGTTGCTCCCTCCTTGGGTAAGGATCTAAAAGAATGGAATGGAACAATTCCATTATAAGGCATTTCATTTTGAGAGCTTATTTGCCCTTTTCCCCAAAGGCTGGATGGGATCTTGGAAAGAAAGGCTTACAGTCTATATACTGTGAGTCCAGCTATCCTGCAAATACATTATCTTTCTATGTGATAGTTTCCTTTCTTGTAGCTCTGAGTATAGAAATAGGGTCAGGGGATAAAAAGAGCAACAAATACCTTAGAGATCCAATATATACCTGTTTTTCCTCAGATAAAAAGGTTGAAGAAATTACAGAAAAAGTAATTCTTCACTAGCTTTTAGTGTCTGGAAAAGGAGGATAGCAAGGGTAAATTAGAGATTCAAATACAAAACCTCACCTCTGTGTCTTCTGTGATATGAAAAAGGATGAATCATATATTAAGCTTACAAAGAAAAGATTAAATAAGGGGAGCTTAATAGATTGTGGTGTCACTTCTCAGGCAAAAGTCCTCCTTCTATACACTTAATTCCTGCTGTCTATCCAAGCAGTAATACTGCATTACAACAGCTTAATTTGGTAATTTAGTAAAATAAAATAAAATAAAATAAAAATCATATTTCTCTTGCATTTCATAACTAAGAATTCCTTCAGTCTGCAGATGTTTCTATACTCGAATTCAGCATTAAGGCTGCCAGCATGATATGTAATCTTCTATTTCTGTAGGCAACTATATATACTTTTATATAAATTTTTATATAAATTCCATGTTGTTGTAACCTTGCTTGCTAGTAAGTCCGATTTTGTTATCTAGTTGTGTTTCATATGGAGCATGAAATGTAGCAATTTTCTGTCTGTATTAGGAAATGGAAATGAGTAGCAATTCAGTTTTATATGACTTTTCACATCAGCCTTTGAATATTTCAAGGTGTGAGATATCAAAGCAGCACTGCTCTCTGTCTCATGATGCCATGGTAGGGTACCATCCCTCCTTCTAAATCACAGTAAGATGTCTGTGTACCAGCCTAAGTATAGCCTGATTTTATTCTATTTGTATACCCTGTCATAGTACCAAGGCCTTTAGGACTGAGACGTGCACTTGGTAAATATCAGTACCCAGAAAAGAATCAGAGGCTTTGCTTCTGGTACTTTTCATAATAAATATTGTGAAAGGCACAGTAATGCAGTGTAACCAGAGGTAACATATGATGTCTGTTTGCAGCAGGGATGAGATTCATTTCTGTAATCAGAATTTAGGTGTAGTTATAATCCGTGGAGCTTGGAGAGCTGTTCTTTTGGCCAAATCTGAGTTACTCTTAAGGATACAAATAGTAGGCCTTTAGCCTCACCGGTTATAAAAGGAGTTTGGGTACACTGCCAACAAGTTGGCATCTACGCTACAAACACCTGCAAATGTTCCAAGGATTTCACCTTTGTGCTCTGTTTTTCAGGAGTTTAAACACACATACCAGAAATGTGTCATTTTCTAAGGAGAAATATTTAGCAGGTACACTGTATCTTTTTGTTTGCTTCATCCTTCTGCTTTTTCAAAGGGTATATTCTACCATAGGGTCGCCAAACAATAAACAAATCTGAAATGTACTCAAAAATAAGGCTTTTTTTGCTTTTAAAGGAGCCTGATCTGGGCCAAAAAACTTGCAATAAATTGACTGAGGTGGTAACTATAGTTCAGACAGGAACTCAAAAATACAAATCAAAACAAATCTGATTTTATGATTACGCATTTATCTCTAATAGTAAAAAAATAAACATATATATACATACACACACATATATAAAACAAACGAGAGGCTAGTTACTAGTTTGAAGAGGATAACCAGTTTGGCATTTAAAGTAGATAATTTAATGCAGATTTAGAAATCAGTCCAGGTCCTTTGCCCATCTGGAAAAGGAAGAGTAAATACCTCTACTAAGTAGAAGAAGAAAAACCCCATTGTTTTCTGAAACTCTCCTTTCTCTGTCATCAAAGCTAATGACACCTTTTCTCATCAGTTTCTCTATATTTCCCTTCATACTTTCAAGGATCTCAACAGGAGAGGAAGAGGGAAATTGTGAAGGCTGCTCTGAAAGTAGTGCTTCACCTTTTCTTATTTTGGCCACTTACATCAGAGGCAGATGGTAGTGGTGTGGCAGTAGTTCAGCCTTTCCACCAAGATTCATTCACATTTTGTTGCTGTGTGACAGATGGCAGCAGAGGAGCAGTCTGACAAAATGGCATGTGACATGAAAGTGCACATGAAGCAAGGTGTGGAATTGAATTTCTCTATGCAGAGAAAAGGGAGGGCGGGCTCTTTGAGGGAGAGTCCAGTGAGCTCTCAGAAAATCAGACTCCACATTTATTGTAGAAATGGCTAAATATTACCAAGAAGCAGAAGAACAGGTACATTAAACATTCTTTCATGATCATCTTTAATGTGTACATGAGAAAAGAAATCAAATTTGATCCAGTAGATTTTATTTTGCTCTTCCCATAGAAAAGAATAAGGCTGCTCCAGTGTTTCCTGTTTTCTTGCTATATAGATACAGAAGTGTTTAAAATCCATAGAAAATAATCTGTTTTAAAGTATGTAAACATTTGGTGCTTAAACATAGAATTTGATTTCTAGGGTCTATTCTGTTTAAAATACTCTAACTTGTTGCTAAAATTTGTTGCTTAAGAGAGAGCATCTCTTGTAAGGCTTTAGTTTCTGGGCTACTCTTTTAAATTACATATTTTACATGTTTAAATTACAATTGTTTACAAACTTTACAAAACAGATGTGTTTAGTACGTGCCACAGTGGCCCATATGACATTTCTCCTTTTTGAGAGTTTCAAGGTAATCTTCCTTTTTTTTTTTTTTTCTTTTTTTTTTTTTTTTCTTTTTTTTCTTTTTTTTCTGTAATTAGTAGATTTACCAAAAATCAATGGAACCTTTGATTCCTTTGGACCCTGACTGCTATAATCTGTGCTCTGGACTCTACAGATCCGTGCTCCCAGCAGTGAAGTGCAATCAGAGGAACTGGCATGAACTTAGGTGAACCAGTCGTTGATGAAAATGGTTTGACAAAGTCACCTTCTTCTGTAAAAATCTTCACATGGACAGACTGGTATTTTGAAGAGCTTTTTAAATGACTCCTCCTCATTCATTTATCTTCACGGTAGACAAACAATGGGTTCAGTGCATATTCTCTTATATTCTGCAGTCTGCAGCTATCACTCTCATTTAATAGGCAATCAGGATTAAAAAAAGTCAGTTGCATATGGTAGCAATAATAACAGTAATTATTTTTCTTTTATTCCCCAATAATTTAAGGACACAATTCGTTTATCTTATTTGCAAGCACAAATGCTAAGGTTATGAAATAAGTATATTTTGGTACAGTCATTAGGCAATTGGATCTTCATCATTTCAGTGTATTTCTTCTTTCAAAAGATAATCTTAGAGGTACTGATCTTAAAAATAATGGATATTTCTTGGAATTTATATTTAGAGGTCAAATAATTTCTTCCTAATTTCAGAAAATCTTGCCATAGTATAAAATATCATTATGTACATCAGCCTACATAAAACAGAAAAAATCTCCCTGTGGA